TAACGTCGTCTTGGGAGACTGCATGTGCCCGTTCGCCCGACCGCCTCATCGGGATCGGTCGAGGCGATTCGGCCCCCGTTGCCGGACTCTGCGGTGATCTCCACGGCTTTAAAACGGCACGATCAGCAGTGATATTTCGCACGGCCCCATCAGCAGATCCATCCTGGGGGCTGGGCAACGCGCTACTTGCATGGAGCATCTGATCGGACACTTCGGCGCATGTCGTCATGATCGAATGCGAGCTAAGTACACATATACACAACGCCGGGGTCGTCCATGCAGGACATCGCACCAGAAGCGACGCCGCAGGCGCCCGTGCAATCGCCGACGGCGATGCCGAGGGCTGCGCGGCACATGCTGGCACTGCCATCGACGCCGCGCGGACGTCGACGGCACTGTCATCGGAGTCTGCCCTTCGCCCGCCGCGCCCCGTGCCTCGGGCGACGGCCCGGCCTCCCTACTCTGCTGCATCGTGGTTAGTGCGGAAACATGTTTGCGCGGCTCCATGTCGACTTCCACCTTAGTGGCCGAGCCCGTGGCCAGCAGCAACATCGAAGGTGGCAGCGCCCAGAGTTCCTCAAACTCCACAGCCAGCTCAGATGCACGAGCTCGACCTGTTATAGGACATGCGCGACAAGCTTCCAGATGTTCCAGCACTTCGGCCCATGGGGGCGCCGGACCTCGACTTGTCGATGACGCTGAGCGATGTGCTCCCCTGCGCTCCTGAATCTCAGCTTGAGCAGGCGTCAGGGCTAGAACTGTCCAGGGCTCTGAACGACATCCTGCACGATGTTCCTGCGTCAGTGGGTAATCGACAGAGTCCGGTTCCATCGGGCGCGTTTTGCTCCCAAGAGAAGTCTGGCGATGTGAATCTCTCAGCTTCGACCTTGATGGGGCGGCCAGCCTCGAGGCCGCGTGCTGGGGCGCTTCCCCCTCCGCGCGACGTCGTGGAGCGAGGCGGAGTTGCGCCGCCGGAGTCACCTGTGCCCGGCGTTGCTCAGGCGCTTGCGCATGCTGCCGCGGACTTGGACAGTCCAGCTTCGGTTTAGACGATTGGGGTCAGTTGCAGGATCTACCCGCTGAAGACCCTGCACTGATCATCTTTCCTACTCAAGTGCGCACCTGAGGGTAGAACACTTCCTATGCCTGACCAGGACTTCATCGCCATACGCAACATTTCGACGATCTGCATGGGTCGTCTGGTCGACGACGCAGAGCATCTCAATGCCACTCGGGAGTCGTTCCTCGCGGACTCGACGACAGCGGCGATTGATCAGCAGCCAGCAGCGCGGTTCGAGCAAGGCAGATCTCCTCTGGAGACTCAGTCATTTTCGGCCATCTTGGGCCCGCAGTGCTGTTTGTTCGACTTGCAGGCTGGAGGGGCGGTGACTTTGCAGCGCGGGCTGACGGGGCATTCATTCGAGCGGGAGGTTCGCGGGAGGCGGTGCCTATTCGAGGCGCCGGGCCGGGCAGAGCACTGGCATTCGCGAGTCATTCCGCGTTGGTTTGCGCCGAATATGGGTCCGATCAACGCGACCGACGCAGTTTGGACGCGCCGGCGGAAGCTCAATCAGGAGACGAAATTGCGGGAGGTGGGCAGGCTTTCGCGGCCGCGGATTTCTGGGTCCACGGGGGCATCAGATCCAGGGGGGCTTCAGCGCAGCTTCGAGGACCAGCCAAATGTTGTTGGTGAGCATGGCTCAGCGCTATGTCCCCGCAGTTCTGGAAAGTTGGGGCGCCCCCGCAGCTTGTCTGCAATGCTCATCTTTCGAAGGGTTGAGGGCGAGTCCGCGAAAGTTGAAGATATCTGAATCGCCCAGCAAACGCGCTGCGACAACTAGCCAGCATCCAGGACATCTCAGGCCGTCTTTCATCCCTTTGACTACGGTCTTGCCTCTTCAGGTTGCTGAAGACCGTGTGCGGGCTGGTTGTTGCGCCGCATCTCTGGCAGATTGCGCTCGCGCTCCAGGTGGCGTCTCAGCGTGATGATCGGATAGGATTATATGTGATGGCATCTTTGTCGACTGTGCGTTTCTGAGTCTCTCCTGGCGGTGATGACGGACAAGCTCGCGGAATTCTTCTCTTTCCACGCGGACGAGGTTCTCCCCATCTGCCTGCGACGTCAACTTGAGGAACAGTTCCTTGCGGTCAAGCGCCAGCTTCTGACCTGCGCGCGCAACGCAGCTCAATGCAGCTGGTCGGCCAGTGATAGCGTCGCTACTCCGCACTTGGACCGTGTGGAGAACAAAACGCGGCGCGAGGCCTTCAGCTTGAATGATTGATGACCAGTTGGTTCCAACACGCAACGCGTGCATTTCCCATGGGCAAACTGACAATCATGCCGTGTCTCTGCCAGTACGAAGTTCAGCCTTTGAAAGGGGCTACCCAGCTGCAAGATTAGAACAACGAGCCGAAATAATGCATCTTATGCGGGCCAGTGTTATCCACAAGAAAGCGCAAAGTTACAACCGGATGCTTTGGCGTTTCTTCCTTCGGCTCGGTGGGCCGCATTGCTTGAGGGCAATCGGTTTTGCAAGCCGCAGAACAAGAACGAGTGTGCATCCTCAAAACAGCCAGTTTTTTGTGTGGATGCAGGTCATGACTTTTGTTTCGCATGACCAGGTCGGGCATTACCTCAGATACGGGGTGATTGCGTGGACTGCGCCATCCGATGGCATTTCAACATAACAAGGCGAACGCGTTGTTCTTTCCCACCAGCATGGGTGAAACAAATTGTGCGCTCAGTAGTAATGCGCAGATGATCGCCCTCCGGGTCACATACTTCCACATGGATGACCATATACATCAAAATTTGATACACACGTATTTTCCAGCGTGACTGGAACCGCGCTCTGAGACATGCTGGTGAGGTTGGAGCTTGCGCGGTGGCCATAGATCATCTTACTGGCTGCAGGGGCGCGTTCGGATTGGTGTTTGTCTGGTCGGACAGATGTCCTTGAGGGCGCACCGCTCAGGCTACCCGTGATGCCTCTGCAAGAGGAGCGGAACCCTTCCGCAGATCAGATGAACGTCTCACGTGTCTACAAAGGTTATGGTGGCCGATGCGAACACGAAACGATGAGTGTCCAGGCAGATGGTGAATATGTCGGCCGCTGCGTATCTTCATATAGGATCAGTGTAGAATGTGACGACGGCCAGGCGCATCGTTCACAGACCGGACGTGCTTTTCGTAGTCCGACCTGAGAACAGTCCAGGAATTCATCTCCGAATGCAGTGCCGGCGTCGCGCACCACAAGAATTACAGCATGACGCGCGCGAGTTCCACGGATTGGGGCCTGCAGCCGTTGCCGCCCAAATTCTATCCTATCTCAGCCTTTGTTCCTCTCCAGGGCGGGTTCCGTGATTTTCCATCGTAACAACCTTTAAGACAAAGAACAATGATTTTTGTCTAAGCATACGTTAAAGCAGTATCAGCATCTGATTGGACAGGAGGCTGGATCACATTCAGCACATGTTCCGGACGTTTTCAGGGATCACCGTTGCGCGAACCGATTACCCTTTTTTCAGTGAGATGATGAGGAGGGGAACTGGAGGAGGAGAAGGAAGAGGAGGAGGAGGAGGAGGAGGAGGAGGAGGAGGAGGAGAAAAGGGCGGAGGAGGAGGAAAAGGAGGAGGAGGAGGAGAAGGATGAGGCGGAGGAGGGAGGAGGAGGAGGAGGAGCAGCAGGAGGACGAGGAAAAGGATCAGCATGATCGTCGAGTCAACGCGAATTCGGATTGAGGCAAGTTGAATACCCACGGTTTACGCTTCCATACAGAATTCATGCTGTGGTCCGCCAAATGAGGCGGCATTGTGTATTTGCTACCTCCGCATAAGATCCACGGATCCGATGTTCATGCAGCGCGTGCCCGGCAGAGGGGCGGGAGGGACGAGCAGGATGACCATCACCCCCCCGATCCGTTCAGGCATCCATTCGCTCATGAAGCTATATGCGTTTTTATGTATGTTCAGACCGGGGGCGGCCAAGAGGGGGGTGATGACTTGGGGGGGAGGAAATCATGGCGGGGACAGGATATTTCCCCAGATTTCATGGCACCTCTTCTTATTTCAATGCGTCCCCAGCCCCGCCCCCCTTGGCCGCGCACATGCCGCCAGCCATGATTTGCGCCCCCCCTCCTCTTGGACGCCCCCCTCTTGGCCGCCCCCGATCAGAGAGGTCATAGTGTCTCTTCCCAGTCGAGCAGAAGAGAATCAACCTAATCAGAGGTCCGCGCGGATTAGGCGTTGGTTCTCATTGGCGGCGCCCGCCGGGCCGCCCTTGGCGCGCTCCACGCGCCAGGGAGGGAGGTTCCGCACCGGTCCAAGAAATCCGCGTGAGCCTCCGGGGAATGTCATGTTAATGCAGCTCGTTGTTCCTCCGGGGAGGGAAGCGGGAGAGGGGGACATGGATCGTCGTCGTTTGTCGATTCGGGGGTGTCTTTTGGGCAGTGCACCTCCTACGACCCGTTTTTCTCCTCCCCCAGTCTTCGGAGGCTCAAGAACGTCACCATGAAAGAAGCGGGTCCTGAGGGAACGGGGTTTCGGAATTGTTTCAGATATTTGTTGGCCGACGATAATTAGGAGACATGGTTCTTGAGGGAATGGGTGTTTAGATGTGTGTTAGTGTTTTCTGCCTCCAGGCGGACCCAGGGGTCGTTCTGAGAGAGGGGGCGCGGGGCCAGGGGAGGGGCCCTCGTTCCTGGGCCCCCGTTCATCAGGATGAGTTTGTCCCTCGTGCCAACCACATCCCTGGGGATCCTTCCGCCATCCACCACCTCCTCTCCCTGCTGCAAGCGTGCCATACAGTCAACCCGCATAGTAAGGATGAGCGATTCTCCAAGGTTGGGGGACGATTTGTTTAAAAGTACTTTTCGACGATTTGGGAGTATCTTTTGAGTATGTTCGATTTTTCGTCCAACATCGGTCTGTAGGGGGACACGCCCGACCTAAGTGTAGGCAGCTCCTCTGCTCAGCCGAGTCTTCAACATCCCTCCCCACAGGGGAGCCTGCGGCAAGCGGGCATCCACGTCATCGCCAGCGGCGTCATCCCAGGACCCGGGGACGGATCCATCCACTGACACCAAGTTGCTCGTCCGCATCCGGTTCAGACAGGTGGCAAGTGATTGGGCTGCCGATCGTCGAGTGTTGTGCAGGCGGGTAGGTTCCAGACGTCGTCAGAGTGGGGTGGCCGAGGCGGCCGAACGTTCTCACACACTTCCTGGGTGCGTGGCTGTCGCCGGGGTCTGCCGTGCGGATCACTGTTCCCCCGTCGCCGCTCCGTCGCCGCGTCGTCACTGCCCGTCGCCTTGGCCAGCTTGGCGAAATCTGGCGGCTGTGTGGCCGCCGTCGCCACCCCGTCGCCGCCTCGTCGCCACCGGTCGTCGGGGGCAGGTGTGGCGGTCTGGCGGCTGTGTGGACGCCGTGGCCGCCCCACCGCCGCCTCGTCGCCCCCCCTCCTCCTCCTCCTCCTCCTCCTCCTCCTCCTCCTCCTCCTCCTCCTCCTCCTCCTCGCCGTGGCCGTGGCCGCTATGTCGCCACCTTCGATTGCGCAACATGAACTGCACCTCATTGGTGGCACCACGAAGATTACCCCGCACAGATGGCACCGCATGTACTGCACCACATGGGTTGCGCAATGTAGACTGCACCACCACGTCGCATGCACAACAGATGTGGTACCACACGGACTGCACCACGTAGATTGCACCCCATAGATGGCACGACATTGATTCTGCGTTCTGAACAGAAATCTGCATCAACCACCCCCTCTCCGGGATAATCTGCACGCCCTGGGGATATGCCATTTGCATATGATTTTACTCCACCGTCAATCCGAAGTATGAATTGATACTGTCCCAGTGCAACCAGTATCGACACCCCCCGCCATTTTTTGCAAAACATACTATGCGCGCGCATTCGTTGATCGACAATCATCAGTTTCCAATCGCAAGCAATGGGACGAAAGGTACACGCGCGCGTTGTCGCGCGTGCATGCACAAATCCTTCAACAACTTCATGTTTCGCAAGGGTTGCTAAGCCGAATATCCCGAAACAAATAAAATCACATGGGTTTGCAACATCAGTTCTCGAAAGAAACATGCGTGCTTTCCATGCGAATATTTAAGAACACCATAGGTTTTGTTACAACAAGTTCATCAAATTCGGCCACACGGGCCTTTCGCGCGCGCATGCCGGAGTCATTCGAACGTCATTGCGTGCGTGTTTGGGGGGCACGATCCCTGTCAAATAGTTCCATGTGGGCCACTAGCGCGCGTCGGCCGCGTGCATGTCGAAATCCTTCCAACACCTTCATCACCGACGCGAGGGCACCGTCATCGTCATCGATGTGATCAGCATCGGCGCCGTCATGAGCCTCGCGCTCGTCATCGTCATCATCGCCACCATCATCGCTACTATCATCATCGTGTCTACCGTTTTCGACGTTGCCGTGGTACCGCGCCCGCCCAACTTCCGTCTCGTACTGAAGTGCCCGCGCGTTAGCGCGGCCTGCGAAACGCGTTGGAAAGTGCCCAGCGGTCAGCGCTACCGTTGCCGCGTCGGTCGCGCCGAATGTGTTGGCCGCCGTGCGCGCAAGCATGCGAAGGCCAGCGCAGCCGCAGATATGCACCAGCCAGCACCAAGCACTCATCGCAACCGCCGCCGCATGGGCTTTGCACATCAAACTGCGGGCGGGTGGGTGGGATGATTGCGCGAGCAGTGGAGTTGACAACCCCAAGTGTTTCACAATTAAGTACACCACACACACATGCACCACTTCGACTGCACCACGTAGCTTGCACAGCAGAAATTGAACATCGTAGATTGCATCATGTGTATTGCACAGGATTTATTGCACCACATAGGGCGCACAACAGATTTTGCACCACATATATTGCACCAGCAACACTGCACCACATATTTCTGTATAGTCATATGTTATACATGTATACATTGCGTTTGGGAAGTGTACATTATGCCCCACGTGAATTGTACAGTATGGATTGCGCAGCCTAGGTTGCACAACATTGACGGCACCACATGGGTTGCTGGAAACACATTGTTTTGTGCCCACGTTTGCTATCATCGATTTCGCTATCATCGATTTCGCATGTTTCAAGGATGCTTAGTGGTGATCCCCCTGCCCCGTAACATATGTGTTTCTCAATTGAGGTACCCTTGTCTGAGCTAGGATACATGATTCCAGATCGCTCCACAAGGTTCTGAGAGAGTCCTGCAGCGCTCTGGATCGGTCGCGGTTCCCGATGCGTCCTCCAGAACCACCGCATCCCAAGTATCTCTCATGTATCGGCGGTTGGATCATGCGGGTGTCGTGGGGGTGGGTGGGCTTCTAAGTCGTAGGCGGAGAGATTCTTAGAAGGTCTGCGGAGTTTCCGAGAAGGTTTTCAATGAGTCACGATGATTTCCAAGGAAGTTCTTGCTTTCTGAGAAGCTCCTGTGCCTTCTTAGGAAGCTCCTTCGTCGCGCCATCCCCTTGTGCGCGCCGCCAGATTTATCCCAGCCCGATCCTGGCCGGCCCCCGTTTCGTTTTTTTATTCTGGCTTGGCGGTGGTGTGTGTTCGCCCGTTTGAAGTCCCATTTCGATCGATTCCATTCGATGTCGATTCCAGCCAGCCCGACCCGATTCGTTTCCGATATTCAGACGATCCGCTGCGGCCCGCTGCTTGCGTGGCGCTGGTGTCCCTCCTGGCGCAGCCGACCCGACCCGACATCGATTCCACGCCGACGCGGCCCGATCCGACGCACACTTCGAGTCGGCCCGATTTGCCGAGTCGATGCTGGCCGATCCCGGCCTCGTTGCCGCCGCGGCCCCGCAGGATCGGCGGGGATGAAGTTTTTCCTCTTCGCTCAGCAGGCCTCGGGGCCGCCCCCGTCGGCCCCCGGGGGCGCCTGGTTCCTCATGGAGCTGGTCTTGACGCCGGGCGCCTGGGCGAACGCGACGGTCAAGGCCCGCGGCCGCTCGGCCAGGTCGCCCCAAAGGGTCAAGGAGAGGAGGAGGAGGAGGAGGAGGAGGAGGAGGAGGAGGAGGAGGAGGAGGAGGAGGAGGAGGAAGAGCAGGGATTGCGAGCGGCGAACGTATCCGTATCCGAGCCCTCGCGGTCTGGATTCCGGGGCGCGGTCCGGCGGATGCGCGGTGTCACGGGTGCGTCCCGCGCGGGGCGCCCGTGAGCAAAGACGCCCCGCAGCCGCGGGGATCCGCTGCCGCCCAGGAGCCTGGCCCGCGGGGTCGCGGGCGGGGATGCGTCTTTCGCCCACGAAAGGCTTGGCATCGCTCGGACGTGTGCATTGTTCCTTCGGCGAGGGCCATCGAGGAGCATCCTTGATCATTTGGCGAAAAAAAAACACGCGCGAAACCGAACAAAAACACAGGGAATGGACGTCCGAGCGATGGCGAGAAGGGGGACAGGGTCAAACAGCGCAACAGCGGGAAGGCTTCCGCTTGCGCACAGGCAGCCTCCCCAGGCAGTCCCAGCCGGCCTCAGCAGGCCCCCCCCAGGTAGTCCCAGCGGGCCCCGACAGGCCCCCCGAGTATAATCTGAGGCAGTTTCGGCACCCCGGCGCCGCCTCCAGCAGCGCCCATGGGGCGCTCCGAGCCCCAGAGTCCTTCCCGCTCCCCCGCGGCCTCGTTCCTTCCGTCGGGTCCCGATTCGTCTGGGGTTTACTGCTTTCTTTTTTCCCCCACCTTTTTCTGCCCCGACCCTACGGCCGTGCCCAGCCTTTCAAGCGGGGGGCCCACCAGCCGAGGTAGGGGGTGGGCGGGAGCATGCGTGCACCAAGTGCCACGCGGGACGACATGATACACATCGCCGCGCCCTCTAGAAGCGAGCTAGCCCTGGAAATCTTCTGTGCTTGTTTTCAGATGCCCCGAGGGGGGTGCGAGTCCAGCTGACACGCTTCTGCAGAGTCGTTCGTTCGTTCGTTCTCCTCCTCCTCCTCCTCCTCCTCCCCCTCCTCCTCCTCCTCCTCCTCCTCCTCCCCCTCCTCCTCCTCCTGCTCCTCCTCCTCCTCCTCCTCCTCCTGAAGTGTCGAGATCGCTCTGGACTGCTCAGGGGCACGTGGAGGCCAGCTGAGACTGTCCGGGGGTCCTGTTTCAAGGCCTCCCGGGACCACCTGGGCGGGCTGTCTGTCAGAGTAAGGATGGGCATCCCTCCCAAGGGTACCCTTGCATCCTTGCCTCCTGGGTCCGTCCTTCGCCACGTTCGTTGGCCGCGCCCCGCTCGAAGAGCTTCGAAATGGGCTTCCAAGGGCCTTGCATCCTTAGCGCGCATCCTTACTCTGCGGGTTGATTGTACCTAGGGGAACAAACAATGACATAAACATAAACATTCGGAGGTCCGCGCGGATTTCTCGGGTCGGCGCTGGGGCCCCCTGGCGGCGCCGCCCACGGCGCGCTCCGCGCGCCAGGGAGGGGGTTCCAGCGCGGATCCAAGAAATCCGCGCGGACCTCTGAGTTTTCGTGCCTGCGTCATGTTTCGTTCCCCTACTACCAGTCAAAAGCTTCGGAATCCTCGCATTCGCCTTTTCGGTCTTCATAGCGACCAGAGACCCCAAACAACGACCAGCGTCTTCACTGCGTAGGCCAGCGCTTGAGGCCACCGTGTCATTCGCAGCCCCGTCTCCACTTCGCATGCTGATCATCAGGTGTCCGCGGTTCGGCCGGTCCGGCTGCAGCCCCACGACGATGACGGCGACGGCGACCGCGACGAGGGCGGCGGTGGCGACGACGGCGGCGACGATGGCGGCGGCGAGTAGAGCGGCGATGTTGGGCAGGGCCAGGAGAGGTCCCCACATCTCAGGGCCGCGGGATCCGAGAGATCCCCGATCTATCCTGTCATGGCTTCGCTTCACGATGGCAACGGCAACGCTCGAAGGACAAAAACGGCACAAACATAGATTTTCAACGGCCTTCGTTGATGTCTTGCATTCGCGCTGGGCCTCCTCTGGCGCCGCCTCTGGTGCCGCCCCTGGCGCACTACGCGGCCAGGGAGGGGGGCTCTAGCGCGGATCCGAGAAATCCGCGCGGACCGTCGACAGTTTATGTTTATGTTGTTTTTGCTCCTCTGGGCGATGGCGGCGGCGGCGACGTGGGCGGTGGCGGCGACGACGTCCTGCCTTCGTTCGAGAGAGAGCAACCCTCCCCCACACCCACCAGGATGATTTTTACATTTTTTCCGGGGTGCTCGTGGACTCAGTCGACACGCCTTTGCGGCGACGATTGCGAATCGCGACGGTTCTTTTTTTACAACCCGTTTTATGATTTTTCGTAGTTCTTCATACCACAAAACGCGTTTACAAAATTGCGCCGTTGCGCGCGCGACGGCGAAATTTGAACAATGTCCCAGGCAACTTCGTGCGTGTCAGTTGTCTTTGTGTAAAAAATGCGGGTGTTTATTAAACAAGTTCTTGTGTCGACGATCCTGTTGTTTCTTGACCCTCGGCGGTGGCATTGTTCGCAGGTTGCCAGGGGCCTGTCTTGGGGCACATGCAGCTGACGACGGCCGTGGGGCTCCAACGGAGAAGTCCAACGAACGTACAGCATGTGCTGTGATGGGTGTGGGGGTGGCCTGGGTCGCCCTCGTTCGTGGCGGCCGCGCGCCGAGGCGGAGGGCGCGCAGCAGGCGTCGCTGGAGGGCTTCCGCGCCTGCTTCTGGCAGGCCATGGCGCCCTACTGCGCCTGAGGGGCTCCGCTTCGCCGGCCGCCTCCGCCCGCTGCGCCGTCGCAGCCCCTCCCATCCTGCTCACGCAGGTGGCGAAGCGTCCCAGCGTGCCTATAGGCCCACCGAACAATGTGATAAGGACATGTTTGCTGTTTCGACGAGATGCTATTAGATCGGAGGTGGATAGACCTCCTACCCTGACACGTCGATTGAGGAATTGGCCGTTTTCGGTTCGCGAGAGGGCGTCGTGGCCGTCATTTTTGCGGGTCCAGGTCCGTCGGTTTCGGTCCCAGGCCGTTTTCACTAAGGGGAGGTTTACTAAAGGGAGGTTTGTCCACTGCCGATTCGAACACTTCTGGCTGGGACTGTCTTGTTTGAACACATCGGGCTCATGTCCTGAGAACCTCGTTTTTGTTCTGAGAGCATTCTGGGGCTCTAAGAACATATCGTGGTAGGCCTATGGCAATGCCTGGACTCTCGGTCCCTGCTCAACCTGCTCCGAGATCCTGGCGCCGCAGCTTCTCCGAGCTGGGCGCCCTCGTCCAGTGTTGGGCCCTGGAGCCCTCGCGGGCCGGCGCGACCCTCGGGGCCTCGGGGGGCTTCGGCGATGCAGGTCTTCGGGCCCGGGGGATCGGCGGCGCGCGAGGGGAGGAAGTGAGAAGGAGCAGGCCTTCTCAGAAGGCTTAAGTCGTGCCATTCCCTCTACAAGGGGAATATTCAAACATAGTCACAAAAAAAGTATGGGATTTGTTTGTATGTTTTTGGACCATTTGGGAATATTTGTTTGATATTTCTTATTTTTCGTCGCAACTCCCCCTGTAGGGGGACACGCCCGCCTTAACAGAGGGCTCGGGCGCCCCTTGGCCCTCTGAGAAGCTTCCGGAGCCCTCCCCGAAGGCAGAATGGCGCGAGGGCGTCTGAGAAGCCCCGCCGCCTTCCGAGCAGGCCTTCGCCCTCTCTCCGTCGCTCGCCCGCTCGCTCGCTCGCCGCCGAGGGGAGGGCCCAGTAAGTGCTTGCGGTGGTCCCCTCCCGCCGCCTACCGAGGGCTCCGGAAGGCGCTCCCCGCGCTGGTGTTGGGCGTTGCGTAATGGGGGGGCCATACATGGGGGGGTGGCGAGAGTGGTCCGAAAAGGTACCCAAACGGTACCTAAACGAGCCCCCTGGGGCTCCGGAGGGGCCCGAAAGGGGCACGAAAGGGGACCGTTTCTGACCCCCCCATTTATGACCCCCCCGTTAAGCCACGCCCAATGGTGTCAGGTAGGGCATGTCCCTCTACGGTCGGGGGTTCGACAGAGCCCCCACCCGGACACGTCGATTAGTGAATTGTCCGTTTTCGGTTCTCGAGTGGGCGCCGCGGCCGTCATTTTCCAGGCTTGCGCCCGAGGTTTGGGCCCGAGGTCGTTGTCACCAAATCACGTTTACGAAAGGGGGTTCAGTCCATCCCCGATACGGGCGGAGTCCGCAGGACACTTTTCACGCGAATCCGAGGATGTCCAAAAACTGTCCGCAGTGGTAGAACAGTCGCTCCCAGACAAAGTTCTGATAGTTCTTGAACATTCCTCCTGCAGATCGGAGGGCACCAACTATACACCAACACCGATCCTGGCCCAGGATCACCCTGGGCCCAGGATCGGTGTATATGCCTTCTTGCGCAAGGCAGGAGGGCGTGATAGGGTAGTTTGGTGTATAGTTGGTGCCTTCCTAGCAGAGGGGCATGCCCGACTTCACGCTGGCGGCGCCCTGGCAGGGCGGCCCCCTGCCTCGCGGGCCCTGCGCCTCCCTCGCCCTCCGCTCGCCGCGCCTCTCCCCCTCTGGCGCTCCCCTGCCCGGCGCCCCCTCGGCCCCCTCGGCCCTCGCCGCCCCCCTCCGGCCCTCGCCCCCCTCATCCCAGAGCTTCAAAACATCAGAATATGAGTCCCGAGACCCAAAAAAATCACAGACCTAAATTTTAGATCCAACGCTAGAAAGCTGAGATTTTAGGTCGGACCTAAATTTTAGGTCCAGCTTGAGTTTTGGTGCTTTGTTTGAGTTTTGATGTGTTGTTTGAGTTTTTGTGTGGACTCTGAGGTTTTGAAGCTTGGTTGAGTTTCTGTGCGTTGTAGTGCAAACGGCAGCACATCCGTTCGCCTCGAGGCCCCTCGGGGGAGGAGGAGGAGGAGGAGGAGGAGGAGGAGGAGGAGGAGGGGGAGGAGGTGGAGCAGGATGATGAGGAGGAGGAAACACGCGCCATGTATACATAACACATCCATTCGTACACACACACACACGAGCATACGATATTTGGGCCGTCATATGTGAGTGAGTATAAGCACGTAAGCTCGTATACAACCAGATGTCATGAACTAGCATTGCACATGTCAGCACGCCATCTCTCAACGATGCGTAAGTCCTAGAGGGAGCGCACCAAGGCTTACAAAAAAAAACACGGCGGGTAGGAGAGTTCTTCCTCCGCCTCCTCCCCCCTCCTCCCCTCTCCTCCTCCTCCTCTTCCTTCTCTTATTCCTCCTCCTGTCCCTTCCGTTTTTCTTTATCCCCTCCCCCTTCTCCTCCTCCTCATTATCCTTATCCTCTTCCCTGTTCCCTCATTCCTCCGCCCTCCTCCGTCCTCCCTCCTCTTTCCTCCCACGTCCTCCCCCTCCTCCTCCTCCTCCTCCTCATTATTCTTCGTCTCTTCTATTCCTTTTCCTCGTCCTCCTCCTCCTCCTAAGTCTTGGTCGCCGAACGTGGTTCTGTGCGGTGCGTGGGGGGATGAAGACGAATCAGGGGCTGGCGGTCAGCAGATATACCAGCTCCCCCAATTATTGCAGCCATTATGGTTCAGAGTCGGATGAGATGGTGCATATGAAGTCGGTCGTGCTTCTATCGGTCGCAGCGTTTCCATATTTATGCATGTCGGGACAACCCAGAGAGCCAACGACACGCGGTCGGAACTGGGACGGCCCTCTGAGAGAGATGGCTGAATTCTTGAAGCCGTTCTATACAGACAAGAAGTCGTTGACCTACAATGCCAGCTACGAGGACCCAGCAAATACAGATGAGATATTGCAGCTGAAAGACTTTGTTATTTCAGCTTGGGAGAAATTGCAGGACGATCTCTTGGTGAGGTGCCCCCGTGGAAAATTAAACGGAAAACTGGTGTGGGACCTTCCCCCCCTGAAGGAAAATGGCAGACTAGTTCAGGAAGGCCTGCGGAAGGCCGTGGCGGCCTGGTGTCCTTCTGACGTTTGCGTTTCTTAGACTATCTCGTAGTACCCCCTCCGTCCACGCCCTTTACCCCCTGCCCACCGCAATGAGACGCAAGGTACAACGACATCAAAGATGGGATCGTGCAGCTCATTAACGACAAGATCATCACCTTGGACCCGAAAATCTACAGGACAAAAACAGACAAACGGAAATTCGCAGAAGAACAGGCAGAAACCATACGAGTAGTATTTCGACATGTTCGGAGAGCTTGGTATAGAAAACTATCGGTCGATACGCAGCCGTGGCTGGCACACTTCCCACCGCCGATCAGGACGTTGGCGAATGATAGAAAGGGGGCAGCACGACGAGGGGGTGGGGGGAGGAACCGAGGAGGAGACGGTAAAGGAAGATGGAGGAGGAACCTGGGTAGGATGAGATGGGGGGGAGAAACGGGATTGGTAGAGGCTGGCGGAAACGGAGGATGAGGAACACTGAACGACGGAGGAGGCGGAGGACGAGGGATAGGAGGGTACCACGCTCCGCCCGAGGACACCGACACCCCATCGCCCTGCGCCTGAGCAAGCCCCCGAGCCCTCGACAACGCAGACTTCGATTCGCTGGGGTGCTTCGTTCAACGATTGGCTCGACTGCTCCGATTACGACATCGACGAGGTCATGGATGATGGCACTCTTAGCGGCGTCCAAATCTTGGAGGCGTCGCCGACGGCTTCAACCGCGCTGCTCGACCTGACCGTCGATTCGCCGACTGGAGAGCCTGCCACCGATGGTGACCCGCCTGGTGGCGAGCCTGGACCCGAACCGCCCCTCGGAGCATTCGACGTCGACATCGACGATGAGATCCAATACACGTACAACTGGGACACCGACACCGACACCGTGACTCGAACAATGTACAGCGGGAACGGCTCGATCAAGGGAATGCAGGCAGCGCAGCGGATCGTGAACCCCAACCTGGGCAGCAAGTTCTTGATCGCGATCTTTGAGAATGGTGACGAGTGGGAGGCGCGCAGACCCTCACGGGGACAACCACCCCATCCCTTCACTGCCCCGTCGCACTCGCATGTCGTTCACCTTAAGGTGAACGGCGCGCGAGTGCGACAACCAGGGCGCTGTTGCGCCCTGGTTGCCCGCCTTCCTGCGTCTGGTCGTTCCGAATGCCGCGCCTCCTCGTCCTCCTCCTCCTTCTCCTCCTTCTCCTGTTCCTCCTCCTCGTCCTTCTTGTTCTCTCTCCCCCCCCCCCCCTCCTCCCACCCCCCATGCGCAGCTTCTTCCTCCTTCTCCTCTTCCCCCCCCACTCTTCCCCCCCCCCCCTATGCCCCCCCCCAGCCCCCCCCCCCAAGGCAGACGCGTGAAAGTGTCGGCAAACTGAGGGGGGGGGGTGCGGTTCCAGCTTCTCGGCGCAGGACGGATCTTGGAATCAAGATCTGATCGTCCGTTCCGTCTCGTATGCCTCCCTTTCCTTTTCATCTTCCCTCCTCCTACTCTTTCTCCGTCTCCGCTTCCTCCTCCTCCTCCTCCTCCTCCTCCTCTCCCCATCTTTTTGTGCCATGATGCCTTCAGACCCCCAAGCTCGCGTCCGAAGACGACCTGAATGACATCCATCGGGCTCGGTTTGTGCAGCTGAATGGCCTCACGGTTGACACTACGATGAATGGCAGGATCGCCGTGCCGATGATACTTGATACTGCGACGTCCAAGTGGCGCATCATGGTAGGCAACAACGCCCCAGTCAAAGTCAGGACGGAGTTGCTGACGGGCGTGCGCGACATGTACGCAGGCATGGAATGGGAGCTCAACGATAGTGAGTATACGGTCGTCTTGGCAAAATGGCATTACAATGATATGGAGTGGGAGGTCATTCGCAATGGCGAAGAGTACCGAGTGCCCCTGTCGTCGTTCAAGCGCCGAGCAAACGTGCAAGCTGCTGTCGCCTCTCCAGCGCGCGAAGCCGCGCACGAACCTGACGAGCAAGTTGCCGAGCTACCAGCCCCCAAGCCAAAAGCAAAACCCAAAGGCAAAGGAAAGGCAGCACCCCGCAAGCGACCAGCAGCAGTAACTAAGAAGCCTGCTGGCGACACCCCAGGCGATGGCGATGGAGGTGGGGAAGGCGCTGAGCATGTGGAACCTGTGGCACCAGCCCCCAAGGCCAAGAAAGTATTCTCGTCCGACTACAAGAGCGGCCGCGTGTACGACTCGAAAAACTACGGGGACGGCCTGATCGCCAAAGCCGTTCCGCAGAACGGTAGATTCGACATCGCCATCTTGTACCTCGGCAACAAGCAGATGGTCCAAGTGTCCGAGGGCACCACGTACAGGAACCTGGAGCTCGCCTTCAAGATGGTCTGCAAGATAGCAGAGGACGTCAAGGCGAAGAAGGCGCGGCCTTTTCATTCGCTATCGATGTCAAGCGCTCATTCTCCGCGTCCTTGTGTTGTTCCCATTGTCCTCATACTCCTCCGCTTCCCTCCCCCCCCCCATCGGGTTCAACCCGCTCCTCTTCCTACCTGTTCGCCTCCCTATCCGCCACCACCCTCCATTCAACCGTCCGTCTCCTCCTCCTGCCCCGCCTCACCGCACCTCCATCCATCATCCTCTTCCTCCTGGGTTCCGCGCCCCACCCAGTCGGATAAAGGCGCGAGCCTCCCTGATCTAGTTTCGCAATGACCACGGGGCCCTTGAGAAATGCAACGCTGCGCGTGATGTCGCCCCTGTGCGTTTAAAGTTAGCCTCACACGGCGTAGGTAACCTTACCACAGCGCATCGCCTTCATCCTCCGCCTCCTCATCCTCCTCCCCTGTTAGTCGGCGAGCATGGTGATGGTCGCGATCGTTGCTGCACTTGGATATGGCACTTCGGGACGGCGGCGCCATGGTTGGACCAGGTGGCAGCGACGTAGCGACGGCGACGGCGATGGGCGATGCGGAGGGGGGTGCGAAACGGTTCAAATAGGAGGATGACGAGGGCGAGGGTGATGATGATGACGATGACGAGGCAAGGCAGGGGGTGAGGACGAAGACGAGGACGATGCGTTTCAAGACGAAGACGACGGCAACGATCGCACTTATGCTTATGGTCGCAATGGGGGGGGCGCTGCCAGGTTCCGTGCGAGAAAGACGACCTCGCGAGGCACAAGACCGCCCTGCTGGTGACTGACTTCGCAGAGGAGCTGAGGCAGGCAAGCGCAGCTGCCGCGCCGTAGGGCCCACGAACGAGGAGAGCAAGTCAGGAGGCCAGGATGGAGGGGGGCGCGATCGGGGGTTGGAGGAGGCACGGGCGAAGAACGGAGGAAGGGGGCGAACATGAGCGGAATGGTGGAGGGCGAAAGGAAAGGCCGACGATAGGGCAAGGGGGGGGAGGGATTCGGGTGATGAGTTAAGAGAGAAGGGAGGACGAGGGTGGGGGAGGTAGAGGTAAGAAAGAAGGCGGAACGAGCGAAGAGGAGGAAGAGACGACGCAACTAGAAGATAGGAAGAGGGAGGAAACGAAGAGGGGAGGTCGAACTGATAACGAGGAGTGTCTGTCGCCGAGCGGGCGCATGCGCTTCTTCGACCAGCCCGCCTCGGCCTGGACTGGAAACGGTTGCTGCTGCTGTTGATGCTGCTGCTACCCTTCTCCCACTCCCCCCCCATGCCCTCAAGGGGCTTGGCTCCCAAGGTTCGAAGCGCCTGAACTTTCATCGAGGTCCTAGCTTAACGCTTCGTGGTTGCACAGAGTAGTCCTTATCCTCCTCCTCCTCCTCCTCCTCCTCCTCGACCTCCACCCTCTCCCCCGCCACCTCCACTTGTTTCTCCGTTCGATTTGCCTGGCCAACGCCATCCTCACGGACATAAGCATTCGCCCTCCTCCTCTTCCACCTCTTTGTTCCTATACGCGCTCCAGGAACAAACCTAGGAATGTTGCCCCTCCCCCTCCTCCTCCTCCTCCTCATCATCCCCATCCTCGCCCTCCTCGTCCTGTTAGTTTAAAAAACACGTGGTGTTCTGACGTCCTTATCCTCCCCCGTCTTACCTCATCATCATCGTCATCATCAGCATCATCAGCATCACCATCGTCATCATCCTCCTCCTCCTCCTCCTCCTCCTCCTCATCATCATCATCATCATCATCATCCTCATCCTCATCCTCATCCTCATCCTCCTCCTCCTCCTCCCCCTCCTCCTCCTGCTCCTCCGCCTCCTTCGCCTCCTCCTCCTCCGCCTCCCTCCTCCTCCTCTCTTCGCCTCTCCCCCTCCCTCCTCTCCTCCTCCTCTCCGCCTCCTCTCCTCCTCTCTTCTATCCCCCCCTCTCCTCCTACTCCACCTCTGGCCGTAATCGCCCTTACGGCCAGGAAAAGAGCCTTCCTCCTCCTCCTCCCCCTCTCCCCTCCTCCTCCATCCTCCTCGCTTCTTCCTCCACCTCCTCCTCCTCCACCTCCTCCTCCCACATCCCCACCGAAAGTATCTTTGCGGCCAGGAGTGGTTCCACCTTCTCGGCGCAGGACGGACCCTGGAACCAAGATATTCTCTTCTGCGTCTTCCCGTCTGCCGTCCCTTTCTTCTTCTTCTTCCCTCCTCCTCCTCTTCCGCCTTCACCACTTCCTCCTCATTCTATTCCTTCACCTCTTCACTCTCCCCCGCCACCTCCTCTTCTTCCTCCTCCTCCTCCTCCTGCCTCCTCCTCCTCCTCCTCCCTCCTCCTGCCTCTCCTCTTCCTATCCTTCTCCTCCTCTCCCCCTCTCCCCCCTCCCGCGCCTCCTCCCCTGGCCCCCCTCCTCCCGCCCCTCCTCCTCCTCCTCCTCCTCCTCCTCCTCCTCCTCCTCCTCCTCCCTCCTCATCCTCAATCCTCCTCCTCCTCCTCCTCCTCCTCCTCCTCCTCCTCCTCCTCCTCCTCCTCCTCCTCCTCCTCCTCCTCCTCCTCCCCCTCGTGCTTCCTCCTCCCTCCCCCTCCTGCCTCGCCTGTATCTCGCGCGCAGCGAGCCGCGCAGCGAGCAGGGCTCACGCGTGGCAGTTTTCGGCCAGCAGGCTCGTCCTGGCCTCGCGCTGCCCCCCTGGTCGGCAACCTGGGGCCCGTCGCCTCCCCCAGGGGCCCGGTTGCCCGGTAGTTCTGATGCTTTTTGATGATGTTTGATGATTTTTGATGATTTTTGATGATGATTTTTGATGATTTTTAATGATTTTTGATGATTTTTGATGATTTTTGATGATTTTTGGTTTGCTTGGGGGATAAGCGGCCACTGCCCCTCCGGGCCCCTCCGGCTGCTGCAGTTGCTGCTGCTGCTGCTGCATGCTCAGCTCCTCCTCCTCCTCCTGTCTATCCTCCTCCTGCTTCTCCTCCTCCTCCTCATCCTCCTCCTCCTCCTGCACCCCCCCCTCCTCTCTCCCCCCCCCCCCCCCCCTCGGGCCCCACCTCCCACCCTCCCCCTCCTCTTTGCCACCCGTGGGAATGCTGCTCCTCCTCCCTCCTCCTCTTCCTCCTTTTACTCCTCCTCCTCCCCCTCGTCCCCCCCCCCTCTGTCTCCTCTTCTCCCTCCTGGTCGATGCAATGCGTGATGATATCAATGTGGCGCAGGCCGCTGTTGGTGGGGATACCTCCCTCGCCGACAAGCCTACGCCAATCGCCGATCACATCGTGGAGATGCAGGTGCACCGTGCGTCGGTGATCCCACTCCTCCTCCGCCTCCTCCTCCTCCTTGTCCTCCTCCTTCTCCTCTTCCTCCTCCTCCTCCTCCTTCTCTCCCTCCTCCTCTTTCTCCTCCTCCTCCTCGCCGATAAGTGCCGACAGAGATCGGCGCGCGCGGGCGCCCTGGTTTCATTGTCTTTTCGAGGGATGGGTCCTGGAACCACATCTTCTGCCCCCAACTCCCAGCCCTGACTCCGCGTGCCTTCTGAATTAAGGGGCGCCCTTTCTGGCCTCAGACTTGGCCCCAAAGAACCCCACAAGCAAAACGACTAACGCAGATGCATCCCTCTCCGTTCCGTATCCTCTCTTCCCCGCCCCCCCCCCCCCCTCAGTAGCCAATTTTGGCTCCAGGCAGCACTGTGCACCGTTCTCTCAGTCAGCACAGCGTCTCTCGCCCGTGATGCCCACGAGCGAACAGAAACGTGATTTGAGCGTGCAGGACTTCAAGCGAAAGGCTTCGCCTGAGGACCTTGAGCAATACAAGAGACTAAAAGGGCACGATGCGAAGTCGGCTTTTCGCAAGCAATGGGATGCGGGCAGGGCCGTGAACGTCGTGGCTACCAAGAGGAACACGCAAGTTGAGGGAAAGATGGAAGGCTCTCTCGGGGTCTACCGCCCACGGTCCGTGATGATCCAGAAGGAAGGCAACGACGCCGAGGCTGCCATTGCCGTGGACAAGATTATTTCGAAAGCCTTGGCCAAAGGCTACCCGTGGTGCGCCATGAACCCAGACACGGAGAGGCTTGAATTTCTGCACCGCAAGAGGGTCATGAATGAGACCTTCAGTCGGGAGCGCGC